AGTTAAGACAGAGAGAGACACCAGCATGAACAAAAAAACTCTACAAATGTTGGAGGCTCCTATAGTCTGGGCTCATCTTCACCTCCGAAGGATGGCTCTCTTCTCAACTCTCCATAATGATAATAGTGTTTTATTTCTCAAATCACAGACGATCTGTCTTGACTTAAGGAGAAACAAATTATCCTAGATTCTCATTTCTTTATAATCCAGTGCCCTAAAAAGATTGTGTGGTGAGTCCTCTACACCCTCATGAAGTAGACATGTGATGCATCATCCCCTGGGAAAAGGTCCTTTCTTTGCAGACATGCAAAACAAGAAATAAAGAATGTACATGTTCCCTGTCAGGAACCTCCCCACCAGCCATGAGGTCACCTCACTGCAAGATTCTGCTGAAGAAGATATGGAATATGAAATGGAAACTGAGGAATCCAAGCAATAATCCATGGGCAATGTGATCCTTAAAACAGATGAAAACACCACATTATCAGTAAACGAAATGCTACTCTGTGTAAAACCTACTAAGCAATCTATATCACCACCTACAAAAGAAAACCCAGTTTCCAAACAAGTCCATGGAGTTACCAGCAGCCTACTGAGCAAGGAAAATGGAAAGATTGGGTTCCTGCTGTCAAAAACAAAAACAAAAATCCTGCCAGCCAGTGAGTATGGACCTGGTAGAACAGCCCTAGGAAAAAAAAAAACTGCAAGGTATACCCTATAACACACCCCCTTGCCAAACAGATTATCACATAAACTCCTCTAACCGGAATCCTAGAGCTCATGATGCCTCTCACCACAAACACTGATGAACTGAGTCCAGAGTGGAACCTTCAAATTGTTGCTTTATTTAGAGACCCAGTGATCTGAGAACACAGCGTAGTAAAGCCAGTCCTAGAAAAAATAGGCTTACACATCATCTCCAGCCAGCAGACTTTATCAGGGGTAGGAGAGGGACAAAGACAGCAGTTATTTATTCCACAAGTCAGCCTTAGCCTCCAGATAAGGTGGTCAGCCACATTTCTGAGATTTATGGTTGCCATATCATCCCTTCCACTCTTCCCTCTTGAGGTACTGAGTCTAGTAAGTACGGTCTGGTACCGACCTCACACTCCTCCAGGAGCGCCTGGGCTGTGGGGTTAACTGAAAACAAACCAACCCTTAGCAGTGTTTATGTGCTATTAGTAGCATGTCTGTGCAGTTATCTTTCTACAATACGAAGCACAAATGTGTTCATAGTGTAGCATATAAAGGTGCATTTATCAGCCCCTCCTGTTCCCCTGTCACTCACGTGTAGATATTTTGGGGCCATTGAGTAGAAACTCCCTGAATTCCCCTCATAATAACCCTCCATGTGCCTACAATATCCTGAGAAGTGTGTGTGTGTGTGTGTGCGCGCATGCGTGCGTGTGTGTGTGTGTGTGTGTGTGTGTGCACTCTTTAGCCTCCTCAGCAGACTGGGTGACGCAATGAATGAGACATTTCTGGAAGAGCATCTGGCAGCATTGTTCAGAAATGTACTGAGAGGGTGTTAGGCTGAGGAGCAGAGGGGCTAGGCGTGAGTCGGATCTCACTCACCCTGAGCACAGTGGATCCTTCTGCAAGAGAGGGTGACACGGTGGGAACAGAAAGCAGAAGAGGGCCACAGAGGGTCCCAGGAAAGGAAAATAGTTGAGAACTCCTGGGTAAACCGAGAGGAGGGGAGAAGGGAGGGCATGGGGACAGGAACATGAAGGATCAAGAAGACAGAGTTGGGGGAGGGACAGAGTGGGGAGAGCAATGAAAGAGGTAGCTAGGGTGAAGGAGCCAATATGGGCTTAGGGAGAAACCTGGTGCTAGAGAAATTGTCAGGAAATCACAAGACTCCTAGCAATAATGGAAAGGCTGTCAGAACAAGCCTTCCCCTTTAATCAGATTAATGACTACCCTAATTGTCATCATAGAATCCACATCCAGTAACTGATGGAAGCAGATACAGTAACCCATAGCCAAGCACTGGACTGAGCTCCTGGAGTTCAGTTTAAAAGAGGGAGGAGGGATCATATGAAGTAGGGGGAGGGGGAGTCAAGACCATGATGGGGAAACCAGAGACAGCTGATCTGAGCTAGTGGGAGCTCACAGACTATGGACTGACAATTGGGGAACCTGTATGGGACCGAACTAGACCCTCTGAATGTGGGTGACAGTTATGTGACTTGATCTTTGGGAGGAACCCTGGCAGTGGCTCTAGGGCCTAACTCAGGGTCATGAACTGACTTTTTGGAGCCCATTCTCTATAGTGGAATACCTTTCTCAGCCTTGATACAGGGCATGAGGGGCTTGGTCCTGCCTCAACTTGGTATTTCAGACTTTGTTGAATCCTCAAGGAAGACCTTACCTCCTCTGAGGAGTGGATGGGGGTGGGAAGGGGAGAGAGGGTTGGTATGTAAAATGAAAAATGATTTTTTAATAAAAAAAATTGGGTCAATGGAAGGATATCTGAGGAGGAGGGACATAAGAAAGGGGAGTGAATGGTGGGAAAGAATGGGGAAAACTAAGTGTACAAGAAAAAGCCATAAAGAAACTTGCTACTTCTTTATGCTAATTAAATTAAAATAAAAGTTACACCGGAAGGTTGTTATGTGTTGGGAAGACCAATTTGGCAATCCAGTTAAATGAACCACAATGTTTGCATGGTTGAAATTGAGAAAGAATTCTCTTGAGTTCAAGACCATTTACAGTTCTGTTGTTTGTTTTCCTTTGGTTCGGTTTGGTTTGACTAAGCGTGGTAGATCGTCAGAGCAGCAAGCGGAAGGCGATTTACGGGAATGAGAGCATGGGAAATCAGTCCTCCTCCGTGACAGCAGGGAGATGAGGACAGACAAGCTCCTCCCATGCCCTTTTAAAGCTCCAGTCAGGTACGCACCAGACACCACCAGTGCCCACAAACTGGCAACATGGCTTGACTCCACCAAGGGTTAAGTTCAACAAGAAGGTCTGGCCTTCTAGGTGTCCCAATATCAGTGAGGCAGAGTCTTTCTGAGACATACTGCTTCCTATAAAGTAGCTACTATTGATTAGATGTGACAGTTTGAATAATAATGGTGCCATAGGCTCCTATATTTGAATGTTTGGTCCCTAGTTGGTGGAACTGTTGGAGAAGGATTAGGAGATGGGGCTTGTTGTGCTCTCGTACACACCTGGAAAGCTCCTTATTTTGGTCATTGAAGTACTGACAGAGCCATGGAAGGACTTCTTTTGTCATTACTATCAACATGCAATTGTTTATTCATTAAGTGCTTGCAAGCTCAAGTTCAAAGGCCATGGCCCAGCATCCGTTTTCACAGTGCCCCAGTCGTGGTGGTCAGGGCTCAGCTTTGTAATTCAGGGATTAAAAGCCAATGGGTGCAGCAAGAACAAAGTCCAAGAGAGCTTGCTGGCACCGTCGATGCTTGCAGTTATGAGTGACTCACAGGCTAGGGGAACCTGAGTCATATCTCAGCCTTCTTCTCATTTCCCAGGAATTTGGGTACACTGTTAATGTACGCTTTCAGACTTGAGAAAGAACGGCAGAAGGCAAGGCCGGCACAGCCTCTTAAAAGAGAAAACCAGGAGTTAATCAATGACAGAGCTAGCATAGGGTCCAACTTCCACTTCTGGGTTTCTACACACTGTCCATCTCAGAACGCAGTGAAATTTTTGTTGATTTCATTTTACCCGTCACTAATTGAGTAATGGCTGTTCTGGGTACTGATCACCACTCAGAACAGCTTCCTATAGCTAGGTTTGCATTTCGAGCCTGGGTCACACCTTCTAAACTCATTAAACATCTCTATATGGTCCCCAAGCTGTTGTTAGGTCTTAAAGAACACTACTTGGATGATCTCTAAGAACCATTCTGGGATGGTTAATACTGACTGTCCACTTGACAGACCTAGAATTGTCTAGGAGACAAACCTTTGACTATATTTGAGAGGATACACTAGATTTCTTAAATGAGTGGTACTGTTCTGTGGCCTGGGGTCCCAGATAAAATAAGAACAAGAAAGCAAGCCAGGCACCAGCACCCATCACTCTGTTTCCTGACTGGAAAGGAAGTGTGACCAGCTGCCTAATGTTCCTGTGGAGAGTGAATGGAGTCCTGAGTGAGTGTGTATTAATGACATGAGCCTCAGACCCATGAGGATGGCAAAGCCTTCCTCTGACCCAAAAGTTAATGTTACAAATCATTGTCTCTTAGATAAAAACAGTGTATGCAGAAACTTCCTTCTCCCAGATGATTGCTAGCTGAAACTGATCCCCTCTGGCAGTGGATCTCAAGCCATTAAATACAGTCCCTCAAGTTGCGGCAGACCCCCAACCATGAAACTATTCCACTGCTACTTCATCGCTGTAATTTGCTACTGTTGTGATTTGTAATGTAAATATCTGATATGCAGGATATCTCATGTGCAGGGGGGGAGGGTGCCGGGGGGTTGTGACCCACAGACTGAGAACCACTGCCCTACAGAGCACTCCTACCCAGATTAGCTAACCTACCTCCTACTTGTTCCACTGTATACAATAAGCCTGTCTCCTCATTCAGCCATATACTCTAATCCTGTCTCCTCATGCAGCCATATAAAATAAACCTACCTCCTCACCCAGTGGTACGTAATAAACATGCTGAGTTTCCAGGCTATCACTGGTGTATCTGACCAAAGTGCATGGCCCACCTGATCTGAGCTTTTCCGTAGGTGTGTCAATGTGTCTGTCCTTTCGTTGCTCCTGCCAGGTCAGTTCCTAAAGCTGTGCAGGTCATGGCATTTGTCACCACACCTTCCTTACCATTAGGTGGTACCATCGAATTGTGAGCCAAAATAAGCCCTCTCTCCTTGTGGGCTGCTTCTTGTCAGATATTTGGTCACAGCAGCAAGACAGGAAGCACTCACTACATCAAGCAGACTGAGAAGCAAGCAGATTCCTTATAAGGATTTCCTGATGAGGAAATGCACACAGATTCTGACATAAAATAACAACTCAACTCTCGAAGAAAATGATTTATTCAGACCCAAATATGAGTGACCACAGTTCAGGGACACGTATTCAAGTTACTCTGAAATGACATGTTCCACATTACATGAAGTTGTACACTCACCAAACAAAAGAAACCATAAATCAACACATGTCCCAGTTACATTGGTGGGATCAGCAGTTAAGCTCCAGGATGGCAGAGCAATCTGTCTGCAAGACTCATATGTCATCTTAACAGCATCCTTAACCTTAGGGTTGCAGGAGGTCAGAGTCTGCCAGGCTTCACTGGGTACTCTCAAAGTCATCCAGCAGTGTAAGAATTCAAGGTGAGATGCAGAAGTTGACAGTAAACAACTATTAAAGGGAACTAAAGATAATCCCAAGCCAGCTTTGACTCTTAACTTCTCTCTCTCCACAATCATGACGTTCTCGATGGCCGAGATCAGGAAATCTACAGCTTCCTCCATATTAATGTGGCTTTGTCAGAGAACTTCAGTTTGTAGAAACAAGCTAACATCTTGAGATTTCCTTGCCTACCCAGCTCATGGCAAACTGTGGAGAGAAAGCTGCAGCATAGAGAGATGCTACAAAAACAGTTTTGATGTTCACCGTACTTCTACCTTAAAATTTTCTGCTTAGCACTGGACCCCACAGGAGACTGGCTCTGATGTTCTTCCAGTTCTCCACGCCCCTTCACCTCCCTACAAGCAATAAATAAAACAAACGGCTTCTATTCATTCATAAGGCTGGGAGGGAGTCCCCAGCTGGATAGTACCACGGGGCTTCCTCGTTCTTTATTCTACACCAAGTGAACTTCATTTCTGAAAAGCTTCGGGAGCTGGAGGCTGGAAGGGAGGCATGTGCTGCCTAGCTGATCTGAATGCTTGGCTGGACAGCTGTGGTTTTAAGAAAAGAATATCTACAGACCCAGTCTGAGCTGTGGAAATGAACAACTCAGCTCTAAAAGACAAATAAGGGACTGGGAACGTAACTCGGTAGGTAGACTGCATATCGGATATGCACAAAGCCCTAGGTTCCACATAAACCAGGCACACTTGTAATCCCAGCACTCAGGAGGTGGAGCAAAGGGATCAAGAGTATAAGGTCATCCTTGGCTACATGATGAGATCAAGGTCAGCCTGGGATACAGCAGACTCTATCTATAAATACATACATGAATAAAAGTTTTACTGGTCTTTCTTTTGGAATCCTGTTTATTATGTGCAAATTCATCAGCCCTAGAGTTACTGATTCTGTGATGCTGTGGGGGGGGAGGCTTTATTGTGGTTTTTCAAGCATTGGGACCACTTTGCCAAAGGTTTTTCAGGAAATACAGACCTACCAGAAACCAGGAATCTGGGTGTGTTTAGCTGTTCATATTGGCCTGGATGGTCATGGAACAGTCCAGAATTCCACATACCTGACCCACCCTAAACTCAGTATTTTGGTTAGGTGTGTTTTGTACCACCTCATCACTAACCCTGTGGTTTTCAGTGCCTCCTCCCTGTTCTCGTTCCACCAGGTTCCTTTTTCCCCAGAGGGCTCGGCTGCTTGGGGCCAAAACAAATATTGAGAATTGGAAGGCAACAGGGCTTTTCCAAGGGAGGGGCTGCCTGATGCCTTTTCCTCTACAGTCTGCATTCTATCTCCACTTTCATGTTAGCTGCACACCCCAGCTAGAATAAGGGCATCTCCCCCTCGTTCCTAGCTGTGAAGATTCTCATGTTTCTTTAGATTGGCAGAAAAAAGGAGACATTGCAGCACTGGAAAACAGTATGTCCTTTCATCTATCTCAGACCACAAAGCACCATGACCCATAGATACAGAGAAAGCAGTCCTTCTGTTTGCTCCACCATCTCAAATGTTAGCCTTTCTGCCTGCAGCAAGATTTGAGAAAAGTGAATAGTGACAGCTCCAACCAGGACATGGTTAACCATGCAGGGGGTCAAATCAGAGAATGCACTCTGATTTCCTCAGCCAAATGTATTTGCTTTGAGGTTATGTAGATAGCTCAGTAAAGTGATTGTCTTGCAAGAACAAGGATGTGATCTTGATGTCTAGAATCCAAGCCATATATGGTGATGCACACTTGTAATCCCTGCACTAGGAAATAAGAGACATTCCTGCGGGCTCACTGACCAGCCAGCCTTGTCTACTTAGTGAATTCAAGGCCAGTAAGGGACCTTGTCTCAAAATTTTAAAATGTGGACATCTGAAGTTGCCCTCTGACATTCACATGTGTGCAAATACATGCAGGCATACACTCACACACATACAAAAACACAAACATATGTATTTTGTGGATGAAAGAATAGCTCAATGACAGACTATGAGTTTAGCATGAATGAAACCCTGGATTCAATCCATGAAACCAAGCTAGTTTATTAAGCAGTAATTACATAATTTTTACCTTATATTAGTCATCTCTGTCAATATCATTCTTCCCTCAAGAGCATCAATGGCCTGTATCTGACACTACCAAGGTGGTGAATGGGCAGTAATATGAAACAGCCCTCCCGATTGTGATGTAGATTACATGAAACGATGTTTTGAGATGCCAGGCACATACTCAGCATGCAGCAGATGGGCACCAGCTTATAATCAGAGCTCATGAATCTTTCTCAGACCACCTGAGCTTGAAAGAAAATGTCCTCCAAAGGGATTGGCACTATTAGGAGATGTGGCCTTGTTGGAGGAAGTATGTCACTGTGGGTGTGGACTTTGAGGTCTCCTTTGCTCAAGCTAGGCTTAGTATGGTACACAGTTCACTTCCTGTTGCTGTGGATCAAGATGCAGAACTCTCAGCTCCTTCTCCAGCACCATGCCTCCCTGCACACTGCCATGCTTCCCGCCATGAAGCTATAAGCTAGCCCCAACTAAATGGTTTCCTTTATAAGAGCTGCCATTGTCATTGTGTCTTTTCACAATAATAGAAACCCTAAGACACCACCCATGGCTGCCATGCTCTTTCTTCAGTCCAAACTCTGTGATTCTCATTCAATACCTGTCATGAGTAAAAGTCCAATAAGAAACTGGGTGTTGGTGATACAGCCTTTAATCCCAGCACTCAGGAGGCAGAGGCAGGCAGATCTCTGTGAGTTTGAGGCCAGCCTGGTCTACAAGAGCTAGTTCCAGGACAGCCTCCAAAGCCACAGAGAAACCCTGTCTCGAAAAAAAAAAGTTCACTAAGAAACCTTGTATTTACCAGTATCCAAAAAAGTGTTGTGCCACAGAAAAGATTAAAAACAACTGCAGTGTCTAATTGATCCCGGATGTTCTCTACCCACAACACTGAGTATTCTCAATTCTCCACTCCACATGGCCCTACTCTCCCTCCATACAGTGAATACAAGTGCAAACCAAGTGTGACCAACAGATATGAGTGGATATTTATACCTGCATCAGGTAAAGAGAGCACAGGTACTATTTTCAAGGTAATGTTCTCCTCAAACCAAAGTACTATGGGAATTTTATTTAGGAGGCCCTATTTACTCATAGGAAAGTATTTTCAGGATCACTTTCCTGAGCATGGTCAGTTGACAGTCATAGTTCAAGAAAGGAAGATAATGGATACCACTTAAGACCATGCACCGGTGTGTGTTTGAGAGATTAAAACAGAGGCTAGGAATGCTTCTGGGAAAGGTCAGCTTGTATCACTTAGACAGTGAACAGGAATGACCCTGGGGGTTCAGCTTTCACTCAAGTTTTAGCTGAATAAAGAGAACTTTGGAGGTGCCTTAATACAGGAATCTGTGTCTAAGAATGCCTGCCTCACTGAGTGACTAACATCTCCTTCTGCCAAAGCAAGGTAAGACAGACAACCCCTCAATACAGAATCAAACAATTCCCTTGAACAACTTCCCCTCCCCCAACTTCCACAGTCATTTTTGCACACAGGAATTCAAGTGTTTTGCAGTGTGAGGAGACTGCCATAGTGAGCTGTCATGGGTGGGATTTGAGGGACTTTCTAATCCCTCTACTGTCAGTGAGAGGTCTTGTTAGGAAAATGAGCTAAGCTTAGATCTCAGGGGCAGGGGAACCATGGGGAGAGTAATGAGATCATGTCTGCAGGGCCCCTCCAGCCCCTTGGAAAAAGATCCTTCCATCACTTCTTAGAAAAGACTTAGCCCTCCAGCCATTTCGCTCACACCATCTCAGTTTTCCTGTCTGGCTACAGCCACCAGCAGCAGCCTGCCGTACCCTGCCAAATTTCCATTTACTTGGCCTCTGGTCTTTTCATGCTGTTAGGTTTCTCCCCTCAGAACCAGATGCAGGTCTGAGCACACGAGCAGAGTTTTCAAATGTGTGGTCCCCACCAATCATTCAATCCTTCAGATAACTGTAATAAAGGGTGTCTGGGGAACTGAGGCTGCATGCTCAGCTTTGTTTTTCTATCTTTATGCGTCCCCTCCGCCCGTCTGGATGTAGAGATCTGAGGAAGGAAAGGACGGCAGATTTCTTTGTAGGAAATGTGCTATTGGGAGTAGAGTAACTCAGGCTTTCAGGAGCCTTTGTCGGCCTTCAGCTATGTGTAGTTTCCTTTTAATGGTTTCTCGTTGCTCTCAGGTGGCTGTAGATGCGGACCCCCTGGTACTCCTTATACAACTCTACCCCAGACACCATGGGACTGGGCTCTAATTCCACCTCTCATGTTGATTTTGCCTGATGATCCATGATAAATCCCTTTTCAACTCTAGTTTCTGTTCTCTCATCTGGGAGATAGCCATCCCTGTCTGGGAATGGGAAGATACTTGAGGAGGCTCACTAGCCTAAGGAGCCACTGGAGAAGGAGGATGGATATGTAAATTGTAGGAGCAACAAGGGGTTACAGATGTTGAAGTAAGATGGAAAAGCCAGCTACTGGAGGGTAGGGTCAGGAAACACTGGCCTCCCTGTGTTGGATAGCAGCAGAAAGGCCAGGAAAGATGGAGATAGTCAAGTAAATAGAGGCAGATAGGCAGGGCCTTCAGTGCTGTGCAAAGATTTTGGCATTTCCATTCAGGACCAAGAGTTCTAAGCAAGATGTTAATGGAGCTTGGCAAAATTAAAGGCAGAGAGACTCAGTCAGATATGGTAGTGTACCCCTTAAATCACAGCACTCTGGAGCAGAGGTAAGTGAATCTCTGTGAGTTCAAGGCCAACTTGGTCTATGGGGTAAATTTCAGGACTACATAGTAAGACTTTGTTTCAAAAATGGGTAGAAAAACTCACCCAGTGAAGAACATTTTGGAGACATCATGTAAATAAGAGACAGTCAAAACAGTCAAGTAAGTACCTAAATCAAAGTGCAGAAAATAAGTGACTCTGGAACACTCAGCTCTAAGTGGGACATCTGTATGGGAACTATCAAGGAAGATGGTAAGGCAGATTGTAGGACCCAGGACTAAGGTAAAACAATGACTTCTAGATTTGACAGAGTCCTTGTAATTGTGAACTCACAACGGCTTTGGCTATTTATATAAGACCTGCACAAGATAAGCCAGTAGACATCCCAGCATGGAAGGAAACAGACTCACCAGCCCCTATCTCTAGGTGAGCAGCTATTGACAGTT